AGTAAGGCTGCCAAGTCCACAGTTAGGTTTCTAGCAAAAAGGGATGAGAGCTTATCACTGCCCTGCATTACAGGTGCACATTTCTGAAAATGCCATTTTTTTAATGATCCTATGAATGAAGGCATCACCACATTTCCAGGCAAACCACATTTCTCTGCTGCAGTAGGAGGAATACAACTACTTATATGCACCACTTGTCCACCATCAGCATACTCTTTGGATACAGGCAGCATCTGCTTGTCTTCTGTTTCTATAACACCCAAGACCAGGCACCGCTCCATGACTGAGGATTTCGGTTCAGACATTCAAAGTCAGTAGGCACTAATGAACTTATCCAGCCTCGATTACTAAATTTGACCGGGATGCCTGCTACTTTGTGCTGCAGGCATTTAAAAGGTTACTGTTCACAGCTACTTATTCCCCCATTCTGTAGGCAAGTGGCAGATCTGACATCCTTTCAGTCATTTCAGGTCACACCCAGGGATTTTAGTCTGAACAGAGATAAAAACACCGGCTGTGCAATACTTYAGCTGAAAAGCCAACAGAGGTTTATTCTTGCACCAGATTTTAGAGACTCTCCAGGCATCTATGTACATGTTTATACAACCTTGAGCTCTACAACAACCAAGCATGATGCACGTCCATGCATAACTTAGCATCACCTCCACAGTGGTGGCAATAAGCACTTTTCTACCTATGATCATATATTTAGTAGAAATAGTGTAAATTATGTGGAGATTGGAGAGACTGGCGTTTGTTCTCATGTATAGAGATGGAGAAAGAAGGYGTTGAGGAGGAACAGATACAGGATCAGAAGCAGGCAGCAGGATATCTGCAACACGAGCTGTAGCTATTCCTATGGATCTGTGGTAGGGATTGTGATGCTGCACATCCATGTGCCCTCCAAACCCACAGAGGTGCAGCTAAAGCTGGCAAACTTCTGAGCTCTTTCTTCATGCTCTTGCAGGGGGACCTTGCAGAGATGCCTGAATGCAGCACTTCTTGGCAACGTGCCTGCAGAGGAATCATGACAGCAGTGTTTTGATTTGGACCTTCCAAAGCAAATGAGTGACAGGAAGATTTTTAGTTCTACCAGACAGACATATGTTCTTATTTCTATCAGCCTTTTGCTTATCAGACACTCTATAATCTACTTGTATAGGAAGAGGTCATTTGATAATTACAGGTTTTTCCAATTGTGYAAACCAGTGTTAAAAAAAAATGCTTCAGAGGCCAGTTCAATTGCACATTTTTGTGCAAGTAATTCTTCACTTCCTCCACATCAACACACCCACAGCCACTTATCAAACACTGCAGAAAGGTTCCTGTGATGTCAGTGCCTCAATGTATCAGGACATTTCTATCTCATTTACTTAAGTAACACACAATTTTTGGTTTATACCAACTAAGAATGTATTTCCCCAGTTGGCTAGAAACTGCTGACAGGAAAAAAGAAAAAAAAAAAAAAAGTGAAAACTCTGCAAACTAATACTCACTTCCCTTCTGTTTTCCAAGCAGCTCACAAACATCCTTAGAATTTGCAAAGTACCACAGCAGAGATGAGTCTGCAAAATCTCAATGATTTTTTTAATGTCCTCAGCAGCTGGGTCTGATTGTATCCCAGCTACTCTCCATGCATGGCAAGAAGCACAAAGGACCTTGCTCTTACTCTGGGTAAAGGTGAGTGTGGGGATAGTGTCAAAAGCTGCATCACCTGCTTACACGGGCTGTGATAAAGCAGGAATTTGGACTCTGTACCTTTCCGGTTTAAAAGCAAATCGTTAACGCTTCCTGTGCAGCAGGCTGTTTTCCTATATAGTTTAGTAGGTGACAAATTTGATAGGAAATGATTAAGTAAAAGCAAAGTGTGTTGATAAGAGACATATTCTCCTTCAAGGCTTCTGGTAATTTGTTTTCAGCAAATAATGCAATCTTTAAGGAATTTATACACATCTTCAGCCTCTGTCAAGTCTGGTGCAGAATTTCCTGTTTTTGTGTTCTCAGAACTGCTGAAGTGCTGAAGCTGCCAGTAAAGACCTGGGCCGTTTTATCCAGAAGAGGTGGAGTCTGTGGCACATCCAGACTCATTGCCGATACTCTCAAGTGCCTGTGCCGAAATCGGAGCTCTTCCATACACAACCTCGGAACCAGGATCGGTTCCCRCAGCCGCATCTCATCCGTACTGTGAACCCTTTCCGCTTATCTCTTGTCACACTATTTTTTTCTTTGTGTAAAAACCATGGGCTTTGCTGTACTGTAAGCATTGACATGGAGGAAGCCCCCAGRTCCAGCCTCATGCTCGCTTTGAGCACCAGCAGCTCGCCCGCAACGCGGKTAAAACCTCAGCCTCCCATTGCACAGGGTCTCAGTTCAGCCATGAGCAAGTTTCATCAGCCAAACAGCCAGAGAGGTCCCTCAGAAGCCCCTGCTATGCACAAATGACAGTATTTTCACACATATAACCCAAGCAGCGACGTGTTCTGTGCTCCAGCCATGTGCCTGGTGCCCGCCCCCCTCCCTGGCGCCATTAGGCGGCCCTCACCTTGCCGCCATTTTGCGGGCCCTGCCTGGACACCGTTTGGCGGCCCCCACTCTGCTGCCATTTTGTGGCCGCAGCCCAGGCTCTGCCCCAGGTGCCAGGGGAAGGGGCAATGATGGCACGTCTCCATAAGCCTATCTGAGTAGGTGGCTCTGCTCTGGGCATGTCTGAGTGCATGCACCATCCATCTGCACCCRCTCCTGCCACTGCCTCAGTTTGTCTGGGAAACATCTCCCTGGTCTGCTCATGGGGCAGCGCCCCCTTCTCATGTCCCCCTCTGCCTAAGCTAGTCCTGAGGGCTGCGAATGGACTCCTAAGCCACCAGCAGGCTCTTCTTACCCTGCTGGGGACCTGGAAAGAGTCTGCAGTCAGTGCTTACAACAAATCATAGCAGCTAAAGTGTAATTACATATTTTGTGTGTCCGGGTAATTAGCGGCTGGTTGTATGCATGGTTATTGGGTGGACTGCTTTAATACCGAAAGCTACGATGTTCTGCTTGGGCTGGGCATAGAACATTCGGCTGAGAGCAGCTCTGCCAGGAATCATCTATAAAAACCCTCTTGAAGTTTAATGAAGTTGAACGTTTGGACTGCTTCCAAAGCAGAACAATTGGGCTCAAAAATACTTTCATGGCAGCTAATTTGCTCCCAGGTTAGGGAAACCTGCAGCCTCAGACTCCCTGCGATATCTGATCGCTTTTCTGCACTTGGCTTGCAGAGTTTGTGCAGAGATAACTCAGCCTGTAAACAGCAGCAAAGTGACAGCAAAGGGAGACCTTCTTTGTGCAAAAGGTAACATTTTTCACTCATTTTATGGATTATTTCTATATTTGTAACACTATGTTTGGTTCTTAAAAATTCTTTAAAAAATGCCTGTAGGTAGCGCACCTTAAGATGGYGGAAGCAATCTGCCTTGCTTCAATTGCACTCAAAGGGTCCTATGTACAAAGACAGAGCTGATCTGTTGACAACAGAGCCTTAGTGCAGTGTAGTGGTTTGGCTGCTTTTTAATTTGTCTTGGATTGCAGCCTTTCCCAAAGCTTTGATTTCCAAATGACTCGTTAAGCTTTACCGGGCCTGAACATAAAAGCTGCACTTTTATGTTTCTTACATGACGGGTGGAATGCGGAAGCTCAACTTAACCGTGGATGCATCTCCTAAGACCTTTCTTCCTCTTGGGGCTTCATGTGCAGCCGTGTTATGGGAAGGCTGACTCTGCTTCTTCAAAGCTTTTGTTCCTGTTATCAGGGAGGAATCAAACAAAACGGGGAGTTTCTGTGCGGGAGGCAGTGCCAACACTAACCGTTATTTCATCTGCAATAATAGCTCAGTGGCATAAGGACATCCACAGGCAAGCTTACTGTTTTTCTTGCTGCTCTGCCAAGAGGGTTTCCTGATTCCTGAAATTAGCCCCATTGCCAAGTGATACGGTCAAGATGTGTGGTCACCAGTCCTCGTTGCCTCTAGAGCTGCAGACTTTGCATCAGTGTAGACCTGCTCTTAAAGTGAAGACCAAAATGGTTTCTCCAGTTGTTGTCTTCCACAGAACAGCAGTTCTATCCATAATAATAATAATAACTAGAATATAATTACTTACAGTATATTTTGAACTGAAAATTTGCTGCCTTAATATGGAAAAAATGACATGAGCATGAAGACACTATCTAGCATATTCCTCCTTTCTGATAAGTCAATGTGTGGATATGTGGCCCTTTCATACCAGCATGTAACCACAGTGGTTGCCTCTCTGTATGTAACTTTACATGAGTTGATCTAATTAAACCTGTATACTCTTCTAGCAGAGACAAAGCCTAAAGCTTTACTTTTGCAGCAAAGCTGGATATATCATGCCAAATCATCCTCTTGTGCTGCCTTGAATGAGGATGCAGAGAAGTCACTGGCCCTACACTGATGTAGAAGTAGGTCATTATGAATCAGGTCTAAAATCTGTATGCAGTCACTCTTGATTAATATTACTTTGCATGGCATCAAGGGCCTATTGTGCTACGGAGAAGAACAGAAAGTACCGTTGAAACTAGGAGATGAAGGCAGGGTTTTGTGTTCTGTACACACAGAACCAGAGGCAAGTTTTGGCCCTCCACTACTGCTCCACAGCTGTGCAGAAGCCACCGCAAAAATATCATCAGTTCAGTTTCTTCAGTCAGAAGAAATTAAGTTTCTTCTATGGAGAAGCACGCTTATGCACGCTTATTTCACCTCTGTCTTCTGTAATCAGTAAGAGATGTAAATCTGCAGATTTTGCAGAACTTATGCAGTTTTTGTGATGGATTTAGTGTCACATCAACAATCAGAAATGAGGGAAATGAATAACTTTTTTTTTTCAGGATTAAAGAGGCAAATAATTTTTTTAAAGGATAATTATTAGTTTATTTCATCATAAGGAAATCAAAATATACAGCATAGTATCACTGAAATGCTAGTATGGATTAAAATGTCAGGCCATCAGTTCCCTSTCTGAACTAGTAATAAGCCACAGAAATCTTAATTTTCTGTAAAATGTATTACCTGCAGTTATAGTTATGTCGAGAGTCTTGTAAAGCAGGGAGAGGCCTGATCAGCCTTGATTTTGTTTTTTATTAGGATTAATTACAAGTATGGATATAAACAAGTATTTGACRAAACAACTAAGTTTTTTCCTATCATCTGAAAAACATTAATAACAGGATTGTAGGTACGACCTTGAAGTTAGGACTGCACTGGGGATGTGGCTGCCCCCTTGTGTTGCTATTAGAACTTAAAATAGTTTTTAATTTGTTATCCCACCTCACCAGGACAAGAGAGAAGTTGTCTCAGTCACCTACAGCCTTTGCATTTTAGCTTTTTAATTTACATTAATAACCAATATGAAGCATAACCTTATAACCACTGATTCTGTTATATTGCAGACCGCTAATTTCAGCACTATTGAAACTCATGAAAGGTGGTTTGGTTGTTTTTACTTTTAAGTATAAAGTTTATCAAAGGAAAAGGTGGKTTTTTTTTCATTTGTTTGTTTTGTTTTCTCTTTCCTCCTGGCTGTTTTAAAGCTTGCTAGTTGAGGATTTGTTTCTCATGCCTTACTGCACAAACTGCATTCCTTTGTCACATGCACTTTTTCTGCTATTTATTTAATTCGCTACCACTTTCTTACCTTACATACCCTACCTTCCATAGGCTTAAAATCATCCACATGACCTTTCTTTAAAAGTAATACTACACATTGCTTCTTGACAGAGTTTTGGTTTAATCTTTGCAGTTACTTTCTAGCATTTAATCAACAAATCCTGTAAATGATATACCTTAAATGATACACCAATGTTTGCTTTAGCCTCAGGCATTTGATGACAGCCACATAAAGGAAAATAATGAGTCATCTTTACTGCATATAGAGAGCGGCTGATCCTCCATCAGCCAAGTATGTTCATTACTTTCATTACTTAGATTTCCCAGCAGGTAGGATAGACACGGGATCTGTTTGCACTTCGGCATCAGACATCCTTTTGGAGCCCTGTGGAATAAAATAGAGAAATTTATAAATAGTGGGGAACATTTCACAACACTCAAGTCTGGAATTATGTGTTAAGGCTTTGCTATCAGACATTCTCCACATTCTCCTTTTTTCCTTCTAAAATATGCATACAAGCACCATCTGCATCATGACAATTCTAGAATGCAACTGCTTGTAGTTTTCCCTAAAAGTGTTTTTTTTTTTTTTTTTAATTTTACTATACTTTTCACAGTCAGCACTGGGAGAAATTGTACTCTGAAACAAGACTAACCAAACCAGACCCGCTGCTCCGTACCTGCAGTGTCTTAGTTCTGGCATTATTCTCACTAAAGTATCCCTGGCCCAGATGGTTATCTGAAGCCACCAACTGTAGATTAAGAGTCCTTCAAGAAAGATTAATAGTTATATTATATCCAGCCTTGATCTGCTCTAAGTTAAAGGAACATGAAATACTTTAAAGCGTGACAGGCATTTGACAATGCTGGAGTGATACAGCTTTTTTACACTACAAATATAATTTGGAGTTTGGAACCAGTTCAAGACAACCTGGCCTACGTGAAGGAAGTGTACTGGTCTAGATATACCAACCAAKTTTTTGACCAGTAATTGACAAATACTTGGTTGTAGTTTATGATACCTTGATGCAATTTTACTGGCCATTGACCATTTCGGGACAGCAAAATGGATCCACAAACACTCTTTCAGGGGTTACAGCTAACACTGCRTGTAGATGCAAATCCTGTATGTAGCCAGATGCCTATCTCAGTGCATGCATAGCAGAAAAATGTAGTGACACAGCTATAGCTTACTGCTAAATGCGTTCCCTACAAGAAGAACTGTAAAGAATTAAATGTGAGTTGTCTTCTCACACTGTATATTTCACATGGGAAACCTGACTCATCACTTCAAGTCGCCATGGGACTGTTCTGTATCAGACTAAGAGAGTGAATGATCTTCCTCATTCCTTTTAAGGAACAATGATCTTTCTTTCTCTTTCTTTCTTTCTTTCTTTCTTTCTTTCTTTCTTTCTTTCTTTCTTTCTTTCTTTCTTTCTTTCTTTCTTTCTTTCTTTCTTTCTTTCTTTCTTTCTTTCTTTCTTTCTTTCTTTCTTTCTTTCTATTAGGTTTGAACTCATTTGTATCCTTTTAATTTTTCACCTTTGAAAATCCCCATATTGAAAAAGAGAAGCAAATGATCACAGTGGACTAAAAGAATTGCTATTTGCTAACTGCAATCCCATGCTTGTATGGGCAGTGACAGCTCCACAAATGCAGTGTACTTGCTTCTGCTTCCAGCAGTGTTGAATTTGGAACTGGCACTGGAACAGAGTGTGTTTTTTGGGCTTTTTTTTTAGCTCCTAATGTCCTACCGCATACAGAAGACACTTGATAATAGACAGTGTAACAGGTTCCAATGTCTATCAAACCCGACCAAATGAACTAGTTATTCTAAATTTGCCCAGCAATCCTAACAGTCTAGACATCTGTTATGTGATTTCCTACATAACAAGATTAACYTGGGGTCTGCCAGCTGTAACTGTTCCTGTGCAAGCTTTAATAAAGATAATAAACCATTTCTAAGCTGACCTAGCAAATAAGATGATATCAATCGCTGTACTTTCTATAAACGGTGCAAACTAGGTGCTGCTTTCAGCTAATCACCATTTTGACTCATTTAGACATTTGCAGAACAGTTTCACRTGTTAATACTTCCCTGTGCTAAAGTCTCCCTGCTGCACCCATTTTCAGGGTGCCTTCCTGATTTAAACAGGAAGTTTTGAAGGAGACTAACCGATGATTCTTGTTAAACTGGAATTTCCAAGCTGTAAGTGAAATATAGAACTTTGTTCCTATGCATTTCACAGACCAATTCCAGCTCTGCTTTCAGGTTCAGAAGCACACGTACCACATGCTCACAACTTGCTGTTGATTACTTTGCATAACCCTCATAAGCTCAGTGCAAGTTGTCCTCCTCTGTGCTGATTAAGCTGGAACATGCTTAACTTAGGCAGGCCACTTTAAAGTGAGCGCACAGGAATGTCACAGAGCTGGAGTAGTTTATTTTTCCATTTGTGCACATCAGAAGCTTTTGTCAGGATACCAGGTATGCTAATATCTGAAATAGGCCAGCAGGATAGTTTCTGCAGGCTGAGTGCTCCCAGCTTCCACTAACTTCAGTGTAAGTTATTTCAGCTCAGAAAAGAAGGGTATTATTTATTTATTTATTTATTTGTAAATAAAAAAATCTTTCTAATTATCYAGGTTATAAATTCACCCTTTTGCTCTAGGAACAGGCATTGGACCTCAGTGTCTGTGCCAAACCTGTGCAAGCTGTTACCTAACACTGCTTCTTGCGTAAGCGGCTCTGTCTCTATCAAAAGTTTCACCATTTGTCAGCCCAGTTGAAATGAAAGGTTCTCATTAGGCACGTTCCTGCACCCTGACATCCTTTAGCACTATGTGCTTTCCCACAGGAATCAACAGCTTCAGGACAGAACATAGTTAAAGTAGCGGCTCCTGAAATAGCTGTGCAGAATTTAGGGGGAGCCCTGGGTGTCCCGCTAACTATCTTCCATTTCCTCTTCACAGAGCTCAATATTGTCTCAGCCAAGTTGTCAGCAGGTACCTGAGCTGTTATCTGGAAGAGAAATTCCGGGACTGGTTTCTTCCTTATGTAATCATGAGGTTAATGATTACACCTTCCTGAGACTTAGTTTGATCACTTAAGAAATCTGAAGATTATATTTTGGAACTATTGCAGAATAGATTTCTTAGGTATAGGTAATCTCAGTGAAACAGGAAGAGAAGCGGTTATTCTCTGTGAAATATTTTCCTATCTTTTTGGTTTTAAATTTATTTCTTCTTTTATAAAGGAACTAGAATGCCCAGTGCAATGGGAATATACATTTAGTCACTTTAGGAACAGGTTGTTTTTTTCCCAGTTCAAAAGCACAATAGACTGACTAAATCAGCTATATCATTATCAAAACATTTTTTTTAGGTGCCATCTTTTATTAATGGGGGATAAAAGATGTAAGGATCCCATTGGCCCCTATAAATACAGCAGAAGATAAGGGGCTACACAGTCAAATTGTCTAGCATATTCTTTGAACATGCAAAACTATCTCACAGAGCATCTCTTCCTCCTCCGCCTTTTTTCTCCATTTTCTTTTTCTTTTAGATGGTCTCCTTTTTACTTCTGTACAATCTTTCCTCTCGTGATCAAAAGCTTTCTCCTCCCCTTTGAATCAGAGATACCTTTCCTGCATCTCTCTGAGTCTTTTAAGAACTTGCACTTGAAAGGATGTTTCCTTGCTTGCTTACACTTCCTAATCTCTCTGGAATAATTCTAAATTTGTATCTATTGTTAAACTCTACAAAAGATTTTAGGATACAGTTTGTGGGAATGACATTATACAAAATACAGAGCAACTGTCAACAAGCGGAGAAGCTCTTTCTCACACACTGGCTTCAGTGAGAATTTGGACAGAGGAAGCCTCTCAGTACTTAATTTCAGCAAGTCTCCAGACCAGGAAAACAAATCTCAATTATCTCTAGAAATAATAGAGRCAGTTAACATTTACCCATTTCCAGATAATCTATGCCAGAAAAGTGTGTCTCTTTCCCCTTTCCTCCAGTTGACATAAGGGATCTGTTACCATTTCTAAGTGGTTAAAGTGACTGAACTCCAGATTTCACCTCTGGGCTTGGAGAGGGGCAGTTTCAAACACCCATTGCAGAAGACTCCAGCACAGAGCAGGGCTGGGCACCTGACTCACGTGTTGCACAGTCTCCCCATGGTTGTGCACGAGGGTGATTTCAGACAGACAGCTGGGTGAGGAAAGAACACTACACATGCACATGCTACATGCGTCTGATAATTTCACTTGGCTAATAATAATACAGATAAATATAAAGCAACAGCCTGTCCCTTTTCACATTAACACAAAAAGTTTTCTCCTCCTGATTTCAGTGGGTGCCACAGGTTAATGGAAGTCAGTGGAAGTTAGTGGTTACTACAGGTGAGCTCTGTGACTTCCTTGTTCCATTGAAATCTACAGAAAAATCCCACTGATTTGTAATGGATCAGGATTTTACCACAGAGTAGTGGGGTGAGACACAAAAAGCAGAACTAAGTGGCTGGACTGTTATTAATAAATCCCACAGAAAGAGTTTGTTCTTTTGTTCTTAATCCCCCTGCCAACATGCAATTATTTTGGTAATGCAAATAGCTCTCTGTAGGATATAGAGTAATTCTGTGAAATGTGTGTAAATTAAACACTTCTTATGATGTGGAAAAACATCTGCCTTAAAATGAGTCATTTTGGTCTGTRTAACTGTTTAAGTTTAAAACCGAGTGTTCTAACGGAGCTAATTTTCAAATCAGTGTAACCATTTCGATATGCATTACTTGACTTTTCTTTCAGGGCCAGAGGGCTGCCTAACTGCTTTTTTTTTTTCTTTCTCTCATAACAGCCTTAGAAGCGGAGCAAGGAGGAGAGAAAAACTCTGTGTGTCTCAGAGGAACCAGCATTGCAGGTAATGTAGTCAAATCAGTTTAAGTTCTCTGCAGCACTTAGAATTTGTGATGAAGCTCAGTTTGCAAATGAGCCTCTAARACATGCTCAAAATGACCCTACAGCTCTGTGAATTCATTGCTGTCATGGCAGATTGCAAGGAAAAAGGAGTAAAGTGCTTCCTTTCAATTGATTTATAAAAAGCAATGGAAAGCGGCTCTCTTGCCCTGCGCCTGGAAGGGTAGTCCCAGGTCTGACCTATGGTTTTGTTGCTGCACTGACTTCTGCATGCGGTCCTGGAGAAAATCCCTCCTTGCAGGGGCTGCCCGTGCAGCTTTAGAGCAGCAGTGGAACCAGGCAGGCAGATGTACCTGGGTAAATCTACCCATCCTTGCTTCTCCTTAGTACACACACTATAATTTGTAGGTGGTTCAATACCTGCTACAGGARGAGTTGAGTCATCCATGTAGCCAGGGCATGAACCTCTAAAACAGGCGCAGGGGAACAATTAGAGCTGTCCCATGGCAATTTGCTAGTGCCTGTGAATCAGTACCCTGAGGGCCGAGTGTTTTTTTGCCGTTGACTAAAAACTTGCTGTTGCCTGGCCTTAATCCCACAAGCTGCTTGTAAAGTTGCACCCTCAGTGCCATCTGGAGCCCTGTGCACCAGAGCACAAGTCTCACGTGCTGAGCAACTTGCGGGGCTGGTGTTTAAATCAGCTGAATGATAACTTAAAGATAGGATAAAATGAAACGTACAAGGCCCTTAAAAAACCCTCCAAAGGACTGCCTCTTCTCTGGCTTCTTGAAGGAGGGCTCCTTTGAAGTATCTCCTCCGTTCTGCAGGGAATCGGTCTCGGTTGTTTGCTGCTCTCTGGAGTCTGGCTGCTCTCTGGTTTCCTGTTTGGTGCCTCTCTGCTTGCTCAGCTCCACTGCCGACTTCTTGTCTTTTGAACTTTCTTTGCTCTTTTGGCCCACAGGTTCACTTTCAGCTGGGGCAACTGGCCTCTCTGTGGAGTTTGATGTCTAAAGCAGTTTCAAACAATGGTTATTTTTAGCAGGAGATGTAAACATTTTGGCAGGTGATCTATAAATACATTAAAAAATGAAAGGCCACCTGTCAGGGAGAAGTCCTGCTATGCAACAGGTTTTCATTTGAAGAGTTTGGACTGAGTCCTGCAGCCCCAACTTTAGGAAATGCTCATAGGGAGATGGGATAGAATCATTTATAAGCCAAGGCTGCAAAATAAAGCCACTACTGCATAGACTTTATCTTAATATATGTCTATGCTAAAGCTGCTTTAGGAGGCAGAGAACATGCATGGAAAGATGCAAAGAGTCACAAACATGCACTTTCAACTGTGACTCCCTGAGCTTCTGCAGCCAAGCCTGCAAAAGCACCTGAAAAGTGCAGGGTTAAGGTTTGAGAGAGAAAGGAAGTAAATGGCATCAAAGTAAAGGATAAAAACAAGTCCCCTCTATAAAACTGCAACAGTCCACCAAAAATTAACAACACATGATTTGGTTATGGAAAGCCAGTGTTACAGAAAATTCCATGTACAAGTGCATTAGAAGAGATATTGAATAGTCCAAAGATAAACACAATAAGAGCACCTTATTTATAGTAAGGTCAAAGATTCTGAAACTCAGAAAAGAACAGGATATGATTGAAGTTCACAGGACGAAATTCAGATCTCTCAAAGAGGATAAGACAATGAAACTTTCCGCAGTAGCAAATGACTAGATATATTTTTGCTAGCAAATCTGCTTGCAAAGAGGATTTTATTTTTTCTTATGCCAAAAATGATAYTACTTTTTTTACAAATTTGTCATGTTTAAATGCTGGGAATCTGACAACTGCATTTAGATGATTGCTCAGCACCTAATGATAGGCATTTTACCCAACTTTGGGGATATTCTCATTATTCTTGAAAAGTTTAGTGTTCTTCTAAAAGCCTATAGTTATATGCCCACATGACAAGCTTAGCTTTCATTAAAAACAACGAATTTTTTAGATATCATGATTTGAGGTAGAAATCTGAAATGAGAACCTCTGCAAGAATAATATTCAAATAAATCTATCAGACATGGTAGAAAAAAGCTCTCAACCCAATCTCTGGACTTCTTGGGTAAGCAAGTAAGAGAAAGCAGTAACAATACTACCACTGGCCTTTTTTTCCTTGATTCTCCTTTTTCCCCCCACCTAATCTTTAAAAAAAAAAAAAAAAAAAAAAAGTTATTGGAACCTTTTATGCAACAACCACTTCAGCTGAGTAATCAAAACTGAATGCACTCGGTCCTCAACAAAATATGTGCTTGTGTTTGCCTGTTTCTCTAAGGGCAGACATTTACATGTGGGTGTATATTTGCTCATATCTGGATTTGTCTGCTTCTACACGCAAAATACGCACTCCCAAAGCTAGGCTGCTTTTTTGCTTCTCTTTGCTCCAGTTCTGCAGCAGAGACATGAAGACACTGCATGGAATCTGGAGGTGCAGCCCTAGTGCTATGATCAATAAGCCCATGCACCAGAGACAGGCAATTGGAGAGCAAGTAGTTTTTTAATTAGAGAGCAAGTCTATTAAAGACAATTCAATAACGTCAAAATRTGTGAGGGCTGCTCGGGCTCGCGCATGGACCCTGCTCACGAGCTGCAGCCTGTCCTCCTCATTGGAGGAGAGAGACCTGCTTGGATGCACTCTGGAGCACCAAGGGCTGCAGAATCCCTTTCATTACAAGGGGGAATGGAGCTTCATAATSACAAATTTAATTCTGGTTTTTCATTCTGACTCACTGTAGCACGAGAAGGGGAAGCACTCAGTGACCACCTCGCCAGTTAGCTTGACAAGRTCCTTCTAACTCTGCTTTGCCCTGGTTTGCTTTGGCAGTGATTCTCTTCAGTGCACTTGCAGATGTGTACATTCAATTCAGAAGTAACCACATTGCCCAAAATACTGGATATGTCTGCATTCAAAGGTGCCAGAATGACTTCTATCCTATATTAACACTCTGTGGAATCTGTGGGTTTACTTTGTGGGTGAAAAATTAGAGCAGAATCTTCCTTACCACACGAGTTGGATTATCTAAGTGCCTGGGAGTTACGGTACTGCARTCAAATTCAAACTGGATGCAACAGGACTATTTCTATGAGCAGTTTGGGGCCTTTGATGTTAGTCAAACAAAACACTTTAAAAATATTCATAATACATTTTCCAGGCAAAATAACATTAAAAAAAAAAATCAGATAATCTCTTTGAGGTGTTTCATATTAACCTTGAAAGGCAGGAAATTGGCATATTTTATATTGATGGGAGCAGCTCAGGAAATACAAAGTGAAAGCTATGAATAATGAAACATGTTAATGTTTCTTATTCTAAAGGTTGATGTGCACCTGACAGATTGCTTTAACTCTTGGCATTAACAGTGCCACTGAAAAAAAAAATAATAAAAGATTAACGGGATAGTATTTTTCCCTGTCRTGTTACAGGAGGCCTTAATCCGAGGCTCTTTTCTAAAGGCAAAAGAAAGAACTCATAAATTTCAGTGGGTTTTGGATCAATGTTCTAATGCATGAAGAATGGCAGTAATGGCAGTAATGAAAAGTGAACAGGAATCGCAGCATTCTAGAAACAGTACAGAGAAATTTAAGGAGATTGTTTAATGCAAATTCTAAAAAAGAAAAAAAGTCACTAAAACAGATACATCCTTCTCCTGAACTGTTTTATATAGCAAAATTATGCTAATTTATAACAGAGTAAGTAAGAGAAGAAGGACTTAAGAAGTTGGTTTAAGAAATAGAAAGWAACTGCTTGATACTTAGTCTGAAAAAAAAAAGGTGGTGTTAACTGTGCTGAATAGCTGACGGGTAGCAGATGAGGGTTTCACTCAGAAAAAAGAACTGTATTTGCATTTCCAATGAAAATTTGATTTTCTGAAGTATTTTCAAACCTATAAAGAATGTCACATAAYGGTCACCAAAGTTTTGGTTCAAATTTTACAAACAAAAGAATCACAGAACAAAGACTAAGATTTTTTTTTCTTAAATTTCAGTGAAAAGTTTTCATTGTCACTTCCAGTATTCTTCCATACAGTTCCATATAAATAATTCTGATCTTATCAGACAAACATAAATCTACAAAATAAAAATTATTCTAGATATTTGTACTTAGTTTCACTGCCTAAGCAAAGGACTGTGCAGAAAGTAAAATAATAGGAAGAGAGAGAGAGAAACGAAACTSAGCATAAAACAATTATTATATTTTAATAGAAGAAAAGCACTTGAAAAAAAAGCWTGATTTTTAATCTGACAGTGACTCTTAAAAGCGTATTTATTAGGATGAATGGGTAAAATAAACAGGTAAGTAAGCAAAATAAAAGAAATAGATAAATACATCAAACGTAACATGCGACAATTTCCTGGCAGTGATGGTTACATTTCCAAAGCTGGGAGTTGTATGGAAGGAGGTGACAGGAGCCCATCACCAAACAACGAAAAAAATTCAGGCACTTACTTGGTGWTTGGGGTTTGGCCCATTTACCTCTTCTGATTTGGAAGTCCCTCCATCACCCTTGACTGACTAAAATAACAAAGGATTATAGGGCTTCTAACTAGGTTCTTGGTTTGAATATAAATTCAATATGAAAAAAACACATGAATCAAACAATTAAAAGTGCAATTTAAGGATGTTCTCTACAGCATTAAAACAGAACCAGACATTTCAGAGCATCTACTGACATTTTTGAAATACTCACATCTCTAAGATTTTTGCTAGTTCCCTCCTATGTGACATGATTGTCCTTTTGAAAGTGATTTTTCCATTTAARCTTGAGAAATGTAAATGGGATGGACCAGATACCATGTCAACTGATAAACCAGCCAGCGCTGGCAACGTTTCTTTTCGAGAAGAGAGCTTCTGCTTGCGATCCAGAGACAGCCCTATCTTACAGGATCTAGCTGGGACTTCCTTTTTATTCAACCATCGTATAAAGTCCATATAGGGAATAATTAAAGCTTATTCAGCTTCATTGATATATTTTGCATTTTGTCATTAGCCATTTTCCCCAATTTCCACTTGCTGGTTTAGGCCTTTTCTCTTCAATGCATGTGTGCAGGAGGGCAAAAGCTCTGCCCAATGCCCGCTGCACCCAGCTGCAGCAATCAAAGCCGAGCCCAAGGCTACAGCCCAGACAGGTCATTCAAAGCAAACTTTAACTCTGAAAGACGTTTTTAAGATATGATCCCTTCATATGTATCTTAAAAATAACAAAAACCTCTTTGACAAAGCTGGCTCAGTGAGTGAATATTACAAGATCTATGACAATTAKATTGGACTTTGGTTATTACTAGTAATATAAAGCAAACAAAACTGATGGTGGGTGCATGTTTAATTTAAAAGTGTGTTAGAGGGTTCAATGTGGTATTCTCCTGAGTATCAGTTAAGCCACAGAGTAGTAAAGCGTAAAATAAACTCCAGAATTTCAAAGTGCCTGAATTTAAATGTCATTTTTCATAGCATAAGTTCAATGAAAACAATGAAAGGATGTGACTTTTGCTCTAAAGATAGATCAGGCGGATTTGTGGTTTTCTGCAGCTCGTAGAGTTGTTACTTGCAGCATTATCAACTCAATCCTAGGTACAATGTTACTCCAAGGATCTGTTTYAGCATCTGATTTTCCTATAAAACCATAGAAAATTGATACATAGCAGCATGATAAAAACTTGAATGACTCTGTGACAATTCATTTTTTGAGAAAAATACTCTTCTGGAACTTGTCTTTCTCAGCCTTTTGCACGCTTATGCTCATAACAGGGTTTATCTGTGTGAGAAGCTGTAGAATTGGAGGAGAGGAAGCACTGTGTGGTCTGTCTCAACACTGCACACTAGTAGCTCCTTCCAGAGTGTATGAAGATGTTCTGTGATAAGATCTAGCTTGCCTTTCTATTTAAATGCCTTCAGAGAACTGTAATGATGCTGAGAAAGTTTATGCTATAGGAGCAATCACTTTGCTTTTCTTTCTTTTTTAAAAAAAGAAAAACAGCTTTAGGCAGCCTTTTAATAATTGCTCTGAGCTTTCATCAGACCAACATAGAAGAGTAAGGGCTTTGAGGACCTGATCTAGACAAAGTTCCCTGTTGCTTTCAGTGAAACTTTTATCTAATGATTGTAGAGGTTTGGCTCAGGAGCACTACTGCCTTCTTACTCTAGGTTTTGATCATTTAGGATTGCTCCAGCTCAGTTCCTGACAGTGCTTGCTGCTTGCTGTGGCAATAGAAGTGAATCAGCATGATTCTGATGATTTAAAAATTCCTTGAGTATAAAATAATCTAAATAGATCAAGCAGTTTAACCCAGCAGAGGAACAGCAGGTAGTTCTATTCTGGAGAATAATCAAGGTTGGGAATATGACCAATGTTGGAGAAGTACAGAAGGGGTGTTTCGTATGAGGAAAAGTATTTCTGACATTCCTTAAGTCTGCATAAKGTAGACTGTGCTACTGAGAATTCGTGGTTTTCATTGGCATCCACATGGACAAACCTCCTTTTTCTTTAGCTTCCCTGAGAACATGCAACAATTCCAGCTATGTGACTGTTTCTTGGAGATGACAACGCATGTAGCACTGGGCACTTCTCGCCAGGCACACAGACAAAGATAGCTCCTCCAGTGTCTTTCTGGAGCAGAGGGCTCTATGGTTTATGTCATAAGCAGGGACTTTCTATCTTGTTTGATAACCAAATATTAAGCGGGCAAATTTCGCTATCAAATTGGCTTGTTCTTTTTTGTGTGTGTGTGTTTTTTTTTTACTCCTACTCTTTCTTTTTTTTACTACTTAAATGTACTCCCAGTCCCCAAAGGGTACAAAGGGTACAAGGTACACAGAGAATAACTGACTTGCCTGCTTAGGCAGCAGAGTGTGAAGTAAAGTTAAACTTAATTTTCTGAATTTGAATCTCAGCTCTTAAGAAGATAAGGTGTCTTTTAGTAGGCATCTCAGTTGTTAATATGTGTAACAGAACACTGGATTTTCTCAATATGAACTGGATTTTCTTGATATGAAAAAAAACCCAATCCCTATATCTTCTTTTTTATCCTATTAAAACACTGGCTAGCACCGAGTACCAGTGTGCTATGCACAGTATAAACAGTATTTCCTTCAGTGTTTTTCTAATTTGCTTGCCTTTTTCCACCTTTCTCTATCTGCTTATTCACTTAAAAGAAGGCATGAAAGGACACATTTAGCATCCTGACTTATGGAGCTAGCTAATATCAAAGGAAATAAAGTGCAAATGTCTCCTTTTCAGAAAGTTATGAAGTAAGAAACCTTTAGATCATCCTCTGCAAGCAGAAGGGAAACACAGTAGATGATCATATTAATTTAAAATAAAGTCAATCTCTTTCAGCAACTATAGCCATAGTCAACCTATTGCTAGGTTGGAGACTGAACAACAAAATAGATCCAAACAGGAGCGTGAGTTTTACTAAGGAAGCACAGCAAATTCTGTCCCCGCTGACAAGCCTGGTTGTTGCAGAGACCTAAAACACTTGTTGTTGTTAAGATCTTATCGTTCCTCACTTGTTCCACTGCAAAGAGCCAGTAGGGATGCTCCCGAGACAGGGTGCCAGAGGTTCCAATGACCTGCATCACACGGGTAGCAGGTTCCATGCAGGTTCTGCTACCTCTTCAAGACACTCCTCACTGCCCTAGAAGCCTCCTGGCACAGTAGCCACCTGTGTAAGATGGTGCAGCAGAAGGTACTTTCAGGTACTGATTGAGGCTTGTCTAGTTTTGCAAGTGAAAGATGGAACTGTGTAGAAGAGATGCAAACATGTTAAGTCATTTTATCATCCAGCAAGTGTAGGGGAATGGTCACGGGCCAGGCATCTCATTGCGTCCCTCCAGCTCTACGTTCTTACTGTAGTCAGAAATGCAGTGTAAAGTCTCATGTGTTTGAGTTAGTTTTTTGATTAACTATCATTAGTATGAATATCAGAGTAATGACATTAGCATGAAGATTGGAGAGGTTGTAAATGGCAGCCCACAAAAAAAGGTGGAAATGACTCTGCTCTGAGCTCTGTGGTCCCAGAATTACACAGCTACCAGGACGTGAGCTAGTTATTTAAAAGCTGGCTCAGGAATGCCTTCAGTTTATGGCTATTACTGAAGGCTTGCCAGACCTCAAGAGCACAGTGTAGACAGACCATTTCTGAGTGGAAATTATACCTTGCAGTACAGCCTGGCAATGCAGCTGTTCTGGGCAGAGAGGACCCTGAGGAGCTGCTCTCTACAGTCCTTATCCCAGCTGTTCTTCCCACAGCACTGGAACTTTTTCCTGTTTTCCCTACATAGTTTCTTGTAAGAAAATCAAGACTTTGTGAAGGGAGATGAAGCTTTTAAATGGAGAAGCCAGCAAATACTTTGAACCCATAAATATTCCATTCATTTTCAGCAGGTGTAATAATTAGTTCAGAAGCTTAACAGAGGCTAGTTGTTCAGGAGCACTTACAGTCCTTCTGCCTGCCCTAGGAATCAGAAATAGCAAAACTAAGTGAGACAGGTGACCAGGGAGAGCACAGAGCTCTGTGACAGCTCCATAGCCAGGATTCTGTGCCGCGGGACAGCAACCACCCAGTAATCCTAAAATTATTCACTGGAAACTACTTGGGACATGTTTCAAAGACAATAGAAATATTAAAATAATTAGGATCTGAGTCAAACATAGAGTAAATCAACACAGAATGATTCATAAAGCTGCAAGGCAGGGCATACAGTTAATACAATGGGTGAGGATTTGTCTGTCTCCTAGTTCTATCTTTCTGGCCAAATCTAGACCGAGTCTCAGCTCTGATTAGAAGTGTTACAGCTGCCACTTTGTAACACAGCTCTCTGGTTTGGCTTTTTTTGGTGTTTTTCTCCACGATGACTAAGATGGGTGTGGAGCACAGCCTCTATTTTTAATCATGGCTTTTATTTTTTTTTTCTTTTTGATTGAAGTTGTGGTTGTCTCAGACTTTAGTATTTGATACATATTACGCCTGATTCATACTCTGCATTCCTAACATGTATTGGAGACCAGCCTCTATGGCCCCTTGCAAAGATAGGGATTTAGGAATAAAGTTGAGATTTTCCAGACATAGTAATTTTGGTAAGTGTCCTCTGGAATCAAAGGCTTGTAGGATGCACAGTTTCTTGGCTATCTAAAAAAAAATTAGGTTAGATCCTCAGATATACCAGAATGTCCGTGTGGTAAATTAATTTTGAAGGAAAAAAAAGAGAAATGCTCCCATCATATGTTGTGCTGAGGCTACCAAAACCATGAAAGAGTAAAAGCCACAGGATAAACTTCTGGAAGTAGGAAAAGATAAAAATAAGGATTTGGGGGTCACCTGTGCACTCAGCACCCGTACCTGTGGCAGCAGGGTGTTCTCAGCTGCACGGACACGTACCTGGAGGGTACAGGCATCGTGGCCTGCTTATTAGACAGTGTTAGAGGAAATTGTATACCAATTCTAATGTGTAAGCTACTCTAGCTTGTATATCATGTAGCTAAAGGTAAACAACACTGATTAAAAATAAAAATCTTCTTTAGACTCCTTTGCAAACCTGCCAAAACAAGATAAATTGCTATATAAACCCTTAGACCTGTTACAGTTGCTTTCAAACACGCAAGTGTTAGTTCTAGCCTTGGATTATTTCCTTTCTTGGCCACCTTTGTACACTCTTTTGAGGAAATTACAGCAGATACCTGGAGAGCGGAAAAAGGCCAGGGCCACTGAAGCTGATTAAAAGCCTCCTGGGCTGGCGCTGGGAGCTGTGGCAGCCCCACGACTGTCCCTGCRAGAGCCACGAGAGGGAGATGCAGGACACGAAACGCGCCGGGGGACCCACGAGGCCGGCTGCCCGCTCCGCGCTGCTTCGGGCTCCCAGCTTTTCCCAGGCTACCACCCCCTGGCTTGGCACTACCTCGCTGAAATGCACAACGCCCTGCTTACCAGTTTAAAAAATTTCCGCAGGTTTGCTTTGGGGGTCTTGATTTCTTCTTTTCTAGGTTTCACTTCTGAAGCTTCTGCGCTTCTATTTTCCTCTTTAGCAGGAGCCACTGCTTCTAAAGACGCGTCGGCTTTTTCATTGCTTACAATCTCTGCTTCTTCCGATGGGCTCTGGAATTAGTTTTTGGCAAATATTAAGAATGCAGAAAAAAAAATCAGCCTTAATCAGTGAGTTTTCTTTTCTTTTTGTAAGAAATAACAGTCACAGYATGTCAGAAATGCAGTGGGCTGGTACACAAGGAATGAACTTGGTATGACAGGATTCTCTCAAGGCTTCAYTGCAGCTGTACAGGTTCTTAAGGAACTCTGTTCATCACAATTCAAGGAAATATGTAACAAGTACAAGTCAGGCTTTTTCAAAACACTTACTTTAAAGAAACTGTTTTTTTTTGAATTGTGGCACCAGTTCCCAAACGCTATCATTTCTCTTTGGTTACAGTTTAAAGCAGAATTGAAATGAAATTATCAAGACTTACACTATTACAAGCCAAGAGTAGAAAACACTTGGATAAAACCAGCAAGAATGAAAGAAAGATCAAACCCAGGAGTATGCACATTACAGCAGGAATTGCATTAAGTAATTAAAAAGAAAATCTACATGCAATACTTTAGACAGTATTACTTGTTAAATCCCTGTTTAGCATCCTTCTTCAAGAGTGAAATATGGAAGCAAAACATCGCGGCCACAGCTCGGTGCCTTCCAGTTGCAAAGATATAAATGACTTCTCGAGGTGCAGGGTTGCTGAGTAGCTCCCCTGTTTCCTCACCTAACCTCATGGGTCACAGAGACTCTCTTGCATAGTCTCATTTGAGTTCAAGAGAACTTACAGAGAACTCAGCAACTTTGTCTTCATAGAAGAGTTTGGGTCCCACTGAGCTTTTGTGTATTACTGAGAAGTTCCTCCTATTAGAATAGTGCTTCAACCAGGGGCACGCAGCTTATAAATTCTTCTGAAATATGGATAAGATTTATTTATTAATCTTCTGCATACYTCCATTGCACAGGCTTCTCAAGGCTAGTGCTCTAGTGGGCTTAGCGGCAGGGCTGGCCTGGAGGCTAAATGCACATTTCCTTAGCTAACTCTTCTGTCTTTTATAAACACCCTGCTATATAACACTTCCTTCTGTGTCTTCAGGAATCCCTAAATAATTCCTATCTCACTGTAACTATATAGATAAGCATCTTCCTTCTTCCTACAAAGAATGAGCTATTATCATGCTAATAACCAAGTAATTGGACCTGCAACAAGCCCTTTATCATGTTGCGGACAAGTGCAGAAAGGTGCAGTACATCATAAAGGCAGGGGAAGTTACACTCTCAGCCTTCAATAGTGAATCAAATGGAAGCAGTTACCCTAGGTATTGGCATTTCAGGAACAGGCTCCTTAAATATATTGCACAGTAACAGCTTAAATATATCCTATGGTTACTGTAGAAGAGAACTGCTGTAAATATATCACACACTATTTATATTTCACAAACTTTACATGTACTTACAGGAACTCACTCTTGATGCATTCCTGATTACTTTGACAAAATTCTACCCACATGAGGAACATAAGAACAATTTACAGGGTAAGAGCAAAGATTTATTGTAGTGCCATATTCTGTACGTGTCCTACAGTGCAAGTGCAGTAACACTGCCCTCACATGCTTCTCCAGTCAGCTTCAACTCAGTGAAACCTACCTAGTGTCTCTGGTTAAACAGCCTTTGATGAACTTCTCCTAGAGAAATGATACCCAGCAACATCCCATGCCAATTAACTCCACAACTAAATAGTGGAGGATTTTTTCTTGTTTGTTTTATTTTGTTTTCTTAAAATGTACTTTATCAACAGATAATTTCACTTGGTATTTTCTACTGCTTCCATTCTGAGAAATAGTGACTGATCCTCCCTGTTCACCTGTCTATGGGACAGCAGTCACACTAAATTCCTGGCATCTTCCCTTCCAATAGCTCTTTTTCTAGGCCAGAAAGCCTTAATTTATATAGTTGTTGTTCCTACAGAAGCCATTCAATACCTTAATGTGTTTTTTTCTCTCATTATTGTACCTTTTAGTTCTACTCTACTAGGAGCTGGAGGGACCAGGACTGTGCACCACATATGAGATGGGCAGTTCCCTGTACCTCTAAAGATTCAATTTTGTTCTTTAATCCTTTTCTTTTATGAAATGAACAGGGTTTTTTGGGGGAAAGAAAAACAATGAGGGAATAAATATTCCCTGCCCCCTGCTGCTGAGATGACTGTCACAGCCCCTTTCCCATGGAACTGCAGATTTAATTTATATTTATGAACATTTCTGAGATAATCAATCTACAATAGTTTTAATCTATATTTCTGCCTCATTCACCCATACATATAATCAATTCACCGTTTATTTGCTTGAAGGCAGTGATTCATTGCGTGGGCTGGAAAAGGGTCTCGATAAATCAGCAATGGAGCCTCTGGAGGCTGTAACCTCTTGCAGAGATTACAGTTTGGGATCTCCAATGAGCCCTGTCTCCAGCTATGTCTGTGCCGTGGCCTTAGTGTCACTGCTGACACCAAAGGCATCCCGGGCAGAAATGCCCATACCAACATGCACTGTTTTAAAGAAAAAGAACCAAGTGATAGTTACCTACTCAGAGTATCTAATTTGTTTAGAATAATCAGCAACTTTAAAGAATAGATTTCTTACTGGATACTATCGAAAACTTAATTCACATTTCCAATAAAAGTCAAAATCACGTTTTAGAATACTTAATTTCAACAATTTAAAATATAACTAACCAATGTACCTATGCATTCATTTAATTCTGTGCTGTATTAGACATACCGAAGTTTTTGCATTTATCTTGCTTAAAGTCTGAGGCTTGATATTAAAAATGATGTTTTATGGTCATTTTCTTACAAGTATCTGCAAGAATTATTCTTAAGTATACATACAGCTCTCTGAGACTGAGTTATCTAACCCTGCAGGTCTCTCTGGAGGTCTCCCAGCCTCCCGTTCAAAACAATTACATCAGGTTGCTCAGGAACTTGCCAAGTTGAATTTTGAATTATCTCTAAATCTGGAGGTTCCACGACTTCTATGTAACCTGAACAACCTACTCAGACATGCTGGCACAAAAGGAAACTCTAAGATATCAGCACATTCCCGCTGACAGGGCTGGTTGCCACGGCGGGTTGGAGGCCGGTGACACGAGAAGGTGGCACGTTGCACAAGCCGGAGATGCACAGGGGAGTTGCACATATTTTTTTTTCATAAGCCAGAAACGCCCCCCTTCCAAAACAGAACATTTCCTGACAGATTTTTAAAGAACAGAGGTTTTTATTTTCATCTCCGCTTCCCTTACAAAACTGGAAGAAAGATTTCTTTTTTTGCATTCCAGAGATATTGAAGAATGATTTTGGGAAGAGCTGGAGGGTGAATAGRAAAAGCCTGACAAAAATAAATGCTCAATGAACTTTGAATGCTGTTGCACACTCTTCTTTGGAGAAACAGGATAAACTTCATAACTAGTTCTGTGAGACAGAAACTGCAATTTGTTTATAATATTAATTTACAAACAGCCCAGCTGTTATCAACATACATGTTCTCATTTCCATCAGTTATATCCCTGTGCCTATAAGTTGCATATGTCCACATTCTGCTTCCAGTTTACGTGGATATAAATTATAATAAGTTCTACCTAAGTYAGCAAGCTATTCCTATTATGCACCAAAGAGACAGAACTGCTGTTTAACTTTTTTTTTTTTTTTGAGGAAAAATGTATTCCTTGCCAAGCTTAGAATACTATTTTAAGAAACATTTATTTGAAGAAGTAAGATGAGCTCTGTCTTCTGTTATTCCTATTACAGAGCTACCTTCATTTTTTTCTCTTTTCAAAATAATATTTTAGTATATCTTCCCTCATTTTGTTTTATAAGTGTATTTTTCTAGTCTCTTTGTTTTGCTGTATTTTGARAGTATTCTTCCACTCCTCAATGATAATATGCTGGATTTTTTTTCTTTCAGTAATTTCCTTACTTAAAACAACTACAGTGCAAAGTTCCTTTCCACTCTGAGTCCTCATTTGGTTTCTACAAGTTCTCCTTGTTTTCAGACGCAGCTACTACATCACTCGCTTTTCCACGTTTCTAACCATACAAATCATTATGAGGATGTAATTTATTTTGTGACCTGGAGAATGGTGCTGTGAGTTTTCCTCAAGTTCATCTGACTCAAAATACAGTTCTTCTTCGGGCCATTTATCCTTAAAAAAAAAAAAAAAAAAAAAAAAAAAAAAGAATGGCCAGAATGCCATTCTCTCCTGCTTCAGGAACTAGATAAGTCCTGGGCAATTTTAACATTTATAGCTCACATTCTCCACCCAAATACTTATCTTTTCTTTCCTATGGCAGAATATGGTTGCAGGCTCAGCAGTAAAAGGTGTCATTCTGCTTCTCCTAGCAGCAGCCACATTGCTGGGTGCAAATTCYCCTTAGTAAAACATGTGTGATTTCCTTTTGTTTGTATAGCAACAAAATTGCAACAGCTTAAATTTGTTTTTTCTTTTTTTTCTTTTTTTTTCCGCAAATATATCTACTTTTAAAGATGAGTCACAGAAGAATGTAAATGWTACTGCCTGAATGACTTTCCTCCATCATTTATTTGCATGCTTTGATCAGATATAGATGATGTGTCATGTACCTGTGCCCTGATCAGATATGTACAAGGTCTTGGAGCCAGCTTTCCAACACAAATGTGTTGCATAGCTAAGCAGTATTTGCTAAAAAACTATTAGTATTTGCTAAAAATAAATAGTAGTATGGTAAATATTTGAGTAACACTTGTATGAAGATTCTTAGACAGACTGATCAGGAAATGGGACAAATGCAGTTGAAGTGGTTTTCATCTGAGAAGCTGAATAGAAATCCTTCTTTTTTTCTTCTTCCTTTACATACTTATTCATCTCTAGTCAAAGCAGCAGCTTTAACTGCAATGTGTTGACAGGCACTTCATTAGCAATACTTTGAAGTGAAACCTTGTCAGAAGATAGATATTTGAGAGGTTGCCTGAAAGGGGAGAAGTTAGATCTGAATCTTAGATCTATTGAGTGTTGTGGTTGCTGTTTGTTAGTTCAAAAGAAGAACTACACATTACTGTGAGTTACACACCTATTTAGAACGGTTGCTATCTTTGACTCCCTAACCTAGCAAAGGAGCAGTACATTAAGGGTGCCAGAATGCAAGATAAAATCATTGCAGGAAAAAAAAAATTAGAAAGAAAGAATCTTCAACCCAGGCTGCGTTAGAGTCTACCCTGTACTTTTCACAGACTTTTTCACATCTGTCCTCATTTTTTTAGCCTCAAGCTGACTGGGTCAACAAGGTCTCTCATCAAAGGAAATATAATATTCTTCTTTGTCAAGAAAATCCTGTAAAGTAACATCAGTCTTTTATTGGTAAGAATTCAACACTCAAGCAGGTAGCTTCCTTGATTTAAAATATTTAAAATTCAATTCTGCACTGCAGAAATTTACTCCAGAAATTTCATAAAAGCATTTTATCTCGGGTTACTTCCAGGTGCAAGGAGTTCAAAGTAAGCAGAAATGGCTCATATTGCAAAGTTTGAAGTCATGAGTCATATAATCTATTTTATTTGAGTAGAAAGTTTTAACTAACTCTTAGTATTTTCAGTGCCAAATCAAGTCTACACTGAGTTATAGTTGTCTACACCACTTCCCATCCTCTGAGATAATCATCTATATTTTAATGATGATGTAGGATAAATTAAACCTTGTGTTTGAACAAACTGCACAAAATTTTGGTAAAAGGTTTATACCCTGAGGGGCTTGCGTTCTTAGAACTTTAGTAAAGACCGTTGTAAGGCAAAAAGACATAGGGTAATTATGTAGACCTAGTTTAGGTGCAAGATGAAATATGGGAGCTCATATTCACTGTGGATAGAATTTATATCATATGGAGCAGTGAAATATCTTTTTACTATGTTTACTCAAAATAACATTTTAAAATCTTACCAGAACCTTTCGAGATTCATGACACTTTCTTACCTCCTCTTCCTGCACAAGAATTATTTTTCAGCAAATTATGATTGTTTGCTTTGTAAACATCTAAAAGCTTTGGGTTTTCAGAACATGTAACCTACTCTAAGTGTATCGCTAGTATCTCTATCCAGCAGARCAAACATAGCAAAAGAATCACAGAGTGGTTGAGGTTGGAAGGGACATCCAGAGATCATCTAGTCCAACCCCCTGCTCCAGCAGGGACACCCAGAGCACAGCGCACAGGGTGGCATCCAGGTGGGCTTGGAAGATCTCCGGAGTAGGAGACTCCACAGCCTCCCTGGGCAGCCTGTTCCAGGGCTCTGGCACCCTCACAGTCAAAAGTTCTTCCTCACATGGAGATGGAACTGCCTGTGTTTCAACTTTACACCCATTGCCCCTTGTCCTGTCACTGGCCACCATCGAGAAGAGTTTGGCCCCATCCTCTCTACATTCTCTCCTCAGGAATTTATACRTATTGATCAGATCACTTCTCAAGCTCAAAGGCTAATGCTCAGCCAGCATCTGCTTATTTGGAAGTGTTTTATTTCTGGGATTTTAACTTGAACGGAAGCCCTGGAAAGCAGTTATTCAAAATAAAGTGATTCTGAAAAATTTAATACAGCTCTTCTCTCRAATGAAATGAAAAAGCTTTCTAAACCACAAAAATATAGTGGAAACAGGAAGCTTGTTTTCCCAATTAGTCTTAGAAAATCAATGTTTAACCCGAACAAAAAATGTGYTTTCCCCAGCAGTTAGTCTCAGTTCCCAAGCTTAAAGTTTGATCTGCTCTTTCTTGTTTGCACTATTTTTACCGAATAAAGACAGGCACAGCAAAACCCAGTTTTTCAGCTATGTAGAACTAAATGAAACAGTTCTTATAAAAGCTTCACCTCTCTAAACTATATCCAGCTACATTTCTATTAATGATAGAATTTGATGAAGAATAATACAATATCTGTGGGATTTTAACAACTATGTTGAACTGAACAAACAGCAACACCCCTTCTTCCCTGGAATCATTTAAAAATACTACCGAGAGCTTCCAAAGCCTATGGCTTTGTAGCCCTTTTCCAGGGGAATCCAACCACCCTTAGAGCAGTGCCTGGGTGTGACTGCCCAAGGCTCGTGTGCAYGTTCCTGGTGGCACGGATCGCTTGTCCCTCTCGTGCCTGCCCTGCTAGCGCTTGTCCCCAGCACCAACTCAGTGCCACGAGGGCCTCTGAAGAGCAGCGCCCCAGCACCCAACGTGGACCTACCTTCTTCCGAAAGAGCTTGCTGAGGGGCATGGGCGCCGCCGCCACCTTCTCCTTGGGCAGCTCCCTGGGGGCTTCGGGAGCTGCTGCCGCTGCCGGCTGCTGGGCCGCGGCATCGGYGCCTTTCGTGTTGTGTTTAGTTGATTGAGGCTCTTGGGAGGATGGAGTGTTTTTTTCTGATTTTACAGAGGTACCCGGCTGCTGTTCAGGGCTCTAGAAACAAACCCATAGGCAATTTCAGCACTGTAGGAAATGTGCAAGTAACAAGAAAATCAGAGCACGTTTCTGGCATCATTTATAAGAGGTAAGTCCGTACTGGACAGCCGCGGCACAAGACATCCAAAGCAGTGCAAACCACATCCCATTTTGAGCTGCATTGCCCTGTCCATTTGAATGAAATAACATCTTAAAGAGAGGAAGCAAACGGAATAGCAACCCACCCTTCACGACAGAGATGATAAATAGATAATGAAATTAAAACACCGTCTTTCAGACTGAAAAGAACAGTGAGAGTAATTACACTTCGACTGCATTAATCACACAGATAAATCATCGTACTCACTTTGGTATTAGTTGTCTGCTGGGCCTCTTTTGCAGCCTGAAGGGAAAAAAAAGTGCAAAGACAAGTCCATTGCTGGCAGTGCCAACCCTCATAATTACACAGGTGAGGAATTTATAAAGGCCCATGTCACAAGTTATTTTATTTTTAGTGAATGTTTGAGACAGTCCTGGCTCCTGCAACCATGGAAACTCATCTTGTAACAGGAGCAAGGCTGCCTGTTACCTGACTTAAAGGGACTCTCAGCTTGTGTCCTGCTTGTAGATACTTGGAGCCCTGAGCTTTGTGCTCTCTCTGGTGTGTTTACAGTTCTCAACTTGTTCTTTGAGAACATACAAATATTTCTATTTTCCACAGGCAAGACATTGCATAGTATTTTAAGATATTGGCAGAAATTTTCAGAGCTGGATCTGCATACGCAGCATTTAGTGCACACAAAGAAGCATGAGCCAGGTCTTTTCCACTGACAGAATTGTACTCCAGTCCCGGACATGCTGAAGTGTCCCATCAAATTAGGTAGCTTTGCTTTTGGAAAATGAAGTGTGGGCAGATGACTGTTGCAGGGCAGGTTAGCAAAAGTAGCCACTCTTTGTTAACCTCTTCAAAGAGACCCTTTCATTTTTAAGGACCCCATGCAAGCAGTTTTTCAGGATGCATTTGTGGCTATATTGGGCCCTCTTACAGCCTGCTTTTTTCTCAGTTTCTGCATTTAGCTGCAGTTAATTTTTTTTGGATATTGTAAACAAGCATATAGTAAAATAAAAACATCCATGAGTGTTTATTACTTCTTACAGCCAAATGCTGGATACACTGTCTGCACTCAAACACTAAGATAAATGCACGGGTAGAAGATTGGCTGTTGCCTTCTGAGTTGGCAATGTAACAAGGGGAGAAGGCAACAGGCTTGTTTTGTGCTGTCGTCCAGAAGCCCCACRTTGTGTGGAGATGCTGCAGGAGATGCAAGATTGCCTAGACCCAGAGCAGCATTGGGTCTGTAGCACTGAAGCAGGAGGTGCAGCTCTGCAAAGAGCAGCTCCATGGGGTGGAGGAGCATTTATCCAGTTCCCCAAAATTTAATGTATGCTTCTCAGTGGATAGGATTTTTTTGCATGTTTCTTCACCTTTAAGTATTTCTTCTAATTTTATCAAAAATAGGAAATCAGAAGTCTAGTTGGTTGAACTCATTTCCAGCTAGTGATATTGATCAGTATATATTGACTCTAACTTACAGCCAAGGTTATAGTGCAGGTATCCGAGTTACACAGAAAGAGGAGCAGCAAGCCACAAACCAAAGTAAATGCAATTTGAGCACCACTGCTTTTAGGCAGCTTGCCACACTCCTTGGAGACTTCTTGAAAGAATAGGTGAGAGCTATTTTGCAGGAGCCAAGAACTTCGTTGTGGTTAGCCCTCCTGGACAAAATCCAGAACAAGTGGTAAAAAGCAATGTAATGCCACAAGCTGACATCAGTAATAAGCTGAAAATAACTGATTAACCCTTTTCTTTCCCATCAAAATTTGTTAAGTCAGTAGAATTATAGTGCAAAACCAGCCTGCAGTGTGAGACAACAAACACAAATGAAAGTAATAAAATACAGAGATGCGACAACCAAATTCCATCCAAACTCATTCTGCAAGGCTGAATGGCCAAATCCCACTGCATCAGGCTGATTTTGTGGATTTATAGAAGGATCTATGTTGCTGCTTGAAAACAGTATTATGAGTCTTAGTATGGTTGTTTTAAAGTTAGTATTTATGTAAAACACAGGACGCTGAAAAACAATGCTTCTGATGTTTTTCTTTAAGCTAATAGGTTTAACATACTGAGAAAAAACATGGTGAAGTGCTTAAAATTGAATGTGACTACACAGATTTAATTAAAATAATGATAATTTCAATTCAAGTGATTTTACCTAACCCTCTAGTTGGTGCATTTTGAGGCATTTGAAGCAAAGGCAGGTAGAACTACACCCTTTTCTTAGTAGAAGAGCTAACTTCAGCACTTGCCTGGCACAGCAATGCTCCAATTTGCAGCTCCGCTTTCAGTCAGCTATACAGGCAAACTGCTAACTGCATTTTAATTCATCTCCTTTACTATTATGTATCACACCTGATATACCTGAGGCGTCTGCATTTTGTATCTGTAAATATGTTAAAAACTGCAACAAAGATCACTGTTCAAAAATAGCGTTTTGTATGACAAAGTATCTTGCTATAAAGCACTGAGCTTTTGCTTTTCTTCAAGATAATTGCTTTCATTCTAGACCCAAAGAAAAGTACGTAAACTTCTATCAATTAGTCTGATGAAAAATCCTCTCTGCCAACTGCTTGTCCCTCAAATGATCAGCCTATTCTTTTAGAAGAGATATGGGACGACATTGTTATCTCAAATCTTGGAAAGATTTGTGGATCTTTCCAAGATCCACAGTGGAAAGAACTTTCATTGTGATGACATCTTAGCTTCCCTCTGTCTTGCTAGTATAATCCCTGCTTATAAAGACCCCTACTCAAAATTTCTGTGTGGGTGTTTTGAATGAGCAATAAATATTAATTACTTTCCTCCCCCAGTGTAAGGGGTTCTGCTTCTACATTCTTCAGGCTAGGAAAAAAAGCTGCTGTTCTTTGTCTCCAGCCACAGAACATCATTACTTAAATTATCCTTTACTGATGCTCATGTAAAACCTGGAATCCAAAGTTCATGAAAAGTGTTTAGTGACTTTTTTCCTAAGTTAATGTTTGCATGAAAAGTGAAGGTGTGTTTTTCTCAACTTCTGAATTATCCATGAAAGAAAAAGTTCCTTCTAAACTAAATTCAGAATTGAATAATTATTACTTTACTATGTTTTCAGGGGAAAGTCAATATTTCTATTGGAAATTTCCAGCCTTCTATTCCATTCAGTGTCCAAGTTCAGTAGAGCACTAGTTTTAACCACATGACTCAGCATGTTAAGTCAATGTGGGTCTTATGCCCATAATCACAGTTAAACTGAGCTCTCAAACTTGTCTCATAATTGAAGTAAATATATATATAATGAATAATTCATTGTTTGTCAGGACCTCCTTTTTTCTTTTTAAAGTATCTAGTTAGTTTAAAGTGTCCAGTTCTAAAGTTTAGTTAGAGTTAGTAGTAGCAACATAAGAGGTATGTAATACAAGTGCAGAGGAATTTTTCAGAATCCTGGGTTCACAGACGGATACACAGAAACATTTCCCATTTAAAAAATGCTGTTTTTATAGYGCAGTGTACAGAAATGCTCATGCCATTAGTTTGCAAAGTGCTGAACAGTTGGCCACATTCTGATTTCAAATACGCTTCATTCTGTGACAGGAGCCATCTGTTACTGCTCAGGATTCTGCTCTTGCTGGGATTTCATACAGACCTTATGCCTAAAGAGTTTGCTAAATGTACTGTGTCCTAATTTGGGAGACTCCGACTTCTTTTTCTTGGCTCCTTGCGTTTGGGATTCAGCAGGTGTCTTCGGAGYGGCTTGCCCACCATGGCCTTTTTCCGCTTTCGAGCCCTTTTGTACAACATCATTCACACTTGAGTACTTGTTCCCAAGTTCACATCCTTTTGTTCATGGAAAACACATTCCAATACTCATGCACGTTGCATTAAAACTAAATATTTCCTTTTTGCCCTGGACAAGAAATTTATATTTTCCATCCCATAATTATTACTCAGTTTTAGTGCTTTTTTATTCTTTYCTTTGGGATGAGCAAAATGAAATTTAAAATACGAGTTTGACAAATGCCCTGTGTTTCACTAGGGTAATGCAGCTTATTCAAAATTAGATCAGAATTTGTCCCCTGCTTCTTCTTTAAAATGAAAGCCCAGTCTTGCTGAGGCTGAGGCTGGTCTTGTTTTAAATAGCAGCCAGTTCGATTTGGGATTATTTATGGGTTTAAATTAGGTAGATATATAAATCCTCGAAAATATCTTTACTCTCATTTGTACTGTGGTATTACAGGGACTTTAAAATGTGTTTTTTATAATGCATTATTTATGAAAGGGGCAATATTAATATTAATGATACATTTATTATTTATACATACTTGTATACACATTACATAAAATATTACAGATTTGCATTGGTGTTCATGAAACATGCTAGAAATGAAAGTTTCAGAAACAGTAATGATAGGCTGATATCAACACCCTTAAAATAGAAAGCACCGTGTTTCCTGTTCTCTCCATCATAAATGTCTGCAAAAGGCATTGGTTTCAGGAGTCATCTCCTACTGCAGTTAGAAACAGGATCTCTAAACACCTAGCTATCACACCGAAAAATCCATTACAAAGCAATATAAATTAGAGAGCAACACAATGATTTTGATGATTGTATAAGAAAAAAAGCAATATCACCTATTTTTAAAAGCAGTAGTAGGCTCTATGCAGCTCAGTGCTGACTGAGTTACCCTGATGAAAGTAAAGATGTCCTGTTCAAATAGACAACACTTCTGAGTCTTTGGAAAACTCAAGTAGCATTTGCTAGAATATTCCATTTAGCTTTTCATTTTAAATTTTTTTTGGAAAACTGAAATGCTTCCTCAAAATTTCCTTCTTCAGATTTGTTTTCAAATACTCAGCCCTCCCAATTTATCGATGCTAAGTTTTCCTATTATGGATATTTTTCCTTCTTCCTTTCCTCTTCCTCCCACACCATTTTTACCATTCTCTATAAATGGTAGAAGAAAAAGATGCAGAGGTGGGGGGAGAACAACGCACAATCCCAGGATTTCCATTCAATTATGAAGTTGTCTACTAGAAAAAAGTCCATTTCAGGGTACAGAACAGATATAATACAAATGAATAAGCAGTGCAGTTTATAAATCGATCCTTCACGGGTTTTTGCAAACATAGGGTGCTCCCAGAAAGTTTGCATGACCTATATATTATATAGGCTAAACTTTCCTGTTTACATGGATGAAGTGGCAATAATATTAGGGGTGCATTCATATTACTGAAAGCAGGAGGTGCTTTAGCTGGCTAATGAAAACCAGAGTTGCATCTTATAAAGTTTTGCTTCAGAAATGAACAAGCTGAGCCTGATGCTGAGTTTTTATGGATCCCAGCCACCTCTTTTGCCAGGAGGCAGCGCGCCCTGGTGCTCTGGGAGGCACCGAGCTGCCCTCTCCCACAGCGATGAGCAAACTTGTTTGTTCCTTTAGCACATGGCAGCGCAGACACTGCACACACGTCGCCCCTTGTGTGATCAGCGCCAGCTGCTCCCTGCGAAGGCAGCCCGGATGCCAACWGGGCCAGCACTCAGCCCTGCGGGTCCCCAGGGCGGCTGAAACYGTCACATCTTATGGGACCCGGGACCCAGGAGCTGCCGGGACAGCGTGGAGGGGAAGGTCTGGCTACACGCTGCAAGGTGGGCACGTTCTTAAGGAACTAACTTCTCAGGGAAAAGGCGACCGTTTTCCTAATACATAGGAGCTGGAAATAGTCCAGCATTGCACAGAAAAGAACTCAAAGCTAACCCGTTGAGTATATTTCCTCCTGAACAGAATGGAAATGGCTTTTTTTTTTTTTTTTTTTTTTTTTTTTTTAGGAATTCAGGAAAATACCAGCAAAGATGAATATATTCTTTGTAAAAACACCTCAGTTCCCCCCAGTGAAGGCGTTTGCATATCCTGCTGAAGTCACCTGGCTGTGTTTGCCTTCCCAGGTGTGACGGCCAACCAAACCCAAACAGCATATTTGTTTCCCAGTGAGAGGGCCTGCCCAGCAGGTAGCTCAGCTGTTGGCAGTACCCACCCGGCTGCCCTGAAGTCAGCTCTGCAAATGGCCCCAACAGCCGCCCTGCCCCAAAGCTCTTCCAACAGCTCCAAAGCTCCAGAATAGGGAGATTTGATGACCGCCTTTTCTGCCCATCTTCAAGAACCTCAGCCCTAACAGCCCATTTGCAGAACTGAGCTAGATGAGGGAAGCAAAATTTGACTCGGCCATTTTAGTACCAGGCTGTGTAAGATTTGAATAGTGCAAAATGCCCACTGGCCTAGAAAACCAAWTTTTTAAGCCAGTAGTGATTTTTATTACCTAATGATTGCATCAAAARTTATTTCCTTTTGAGGGTTTTATCCTTTATGTGTTTAAATTTTGTCTCATGCATTGCTGGAAAAAATACTTATTATAGTCATAAGAAATACTTATAAAAGTGCTTTTAGTCTGGAAGCTCCCACTTATACAGTCAGTGATAACTCTGGTAGGCCACTGAAAGCATCAGAACACTGAAGGCAGATTAATACAATTATTTTTTGGCACATTTCTGTCATTAAAACTACTTCAAGCTTTAGCACTGCCTTACCRGTGGGAAAAGAGAGGGGAAAAAGACAGAGTACCAGTAAATGAAAACGTGTTTAACAGTTCCTCATCCACATTACAGAAAATGATACAATTCTGATCTTCARCTGAAGGCTGGAAAAAAGCCTATGTTAAAACACACTTAATGACCAGTGATAGAGAACAAGGAATCACCTACCTTGTCTTCAGAATCTCTTTTGGTGTCAGCTTTGCCTGGGGAGACCTTAAATATATTTGAGAAAGTAAACAGTTATGCTCAACTCAATCCTTCAGAAGAAAAGAGTTTGAAAGCTCATCTATTAGCTTGAAACTTGCCSTATTTTCTATCACAAAGTAAAACTGCATAAAATGAACTTTCAGAGATTTTCAGGGTTTCAGCATTCAGAGGATGTGCCTGTAGAGACATGYGAAAGAGCTGGACCAGCTAAATACCCCAGTCCTGGAAGTGACTCTAATAGCAGGGGAAGTTTTCTAAATAAACTATCATTTATTACAACTGAACTATGTCTGCACATCTCTCAATCTCAGATCATTCCTTCAGCCATTCATTTGGCTTCATAACATGTCTCCTTGGTGCCTGCGACAGTGAGCGTGTTAGATCTAGTTAAGTATCTCCACATGGGATTTTTATAAGTCACATTAATTTAAAGCATAGCTAGAAATGAAAACGAAACACTTACCAGCGTTTTAAGGAAACTCATGACAGAATTTTCACTGTCAACTGCAGGAGCTGCTGGAGGGTTCTCTTGTTCTACCTCTGCCCTTTCAGGTTGCTCAGTGGGGGCACAGTTGACACCTGCTGCGTCCTGCCCGATGTCTTTTTGGTTGCAGTCATCTATCTCCTAAAAAAGAGGGCAGAGTTTCTTCAGTTCTGGCCTCCTTAATTTCCACTGGAATGCAAAAGTAGCATTTGTGACTTGCATTATGTCGCTCTCAGTCACAACCCTAATTCCAACCATACTTCTGCAGCCTACATGTTTAGAACAATTGAGCATTTATGCATCTTTCCCCTCTTTTCTAATATATTCAGCATTTGCTATTGGAGAAACATTGTTCCTAGCTCTCAAGTATCAGCACCACCAGCAGAGCTGCATCCCTGACGCCACCACTTTCTCAGGAGCAAGGCAGAATTTGTGAATAGACCAAACCCTGATTTGGGCTTTTGATGTCTGTCTGAATGTACTGCAAAGATTGTGTTCTGCAATTCCAGAAATGATTTTTATCTAGTAAACAAACATGATACAAATTAAAAACAACAATTCAAACAGGAGTAATTTGTTTGAGCCAGATCCAGAGAGTGAGTTGTAATCAGATTTACCAAACTCCAAACTGTGTTTCAGAGCTCAAGCACTCAYGTAGATAAAAAAAAAAAAAAGTTACTAATTTTCTATCTGGACACCTACAGAAGATCTTGTTTGTTTTTTAAAGAGGTTTTTGGCCCAGTTGTCGACACACGTTCAGAGAGCTTGGTCTCCTTCACACTCAGTTTATCAGCTACCCTGGCCGCTTGCTTTTTCAGCCTGCACAGGTAAAGCTGATGCAAACTGCAAAATAACATTTTTATGTATCTTCAAATTCCTTTTAGTATTTCCCTTTTTAGCCTTCCAAGAAAACTAAATCTGGCTGTCTCCAAGTTTGTTATCAGTAACACTCCTTCTCCTCCCTTTTGTTTATCTGCCCTATTGTGAACTCCTGAGGGCTGAATCTATCAATTAGTATCAGAGAAGCAAACAGGAGCCCAGGGGCAGCGCTGATTTTGGTAGGGTATTTGAGACACTACTGAATGAGCAGGCATTAACAACAGCACCGTGGCAGCAAATGGGCACCCCAAGCACGGAGGCAGATACAGTACATGCATCTGCTCACCTCAGACTCAATCACCAGAGAAGCAGTTGGTTATTAGGAAGCTGGATGCCCAGATTAGTTAACAGGAAAAACAGGGACCAGAGAAACAGAGTTTGAGCTTGTCCGCTTGTCAGTGGTTCAAAATGCTGCCTCTCAAAAGACTACCTAGACTTCTAAATGATGCTAAATATGTATATATATATATGTTTAGCACTAATTATACATACTTGTTCAATGCCATTTTTATTAGGGAATTTTGAAGTTGTACCCTGGAGAACCTTTCCCTTTACTGAGGGATTTAAAAATCAGTATTTGTGTAGGATTTACTTAGGACAGATTTCTGTAAGCAACTCTGGGAGGGAAGAGACTAAACATGTAGAATTAACACAGTTAAAGTTTCAAAGGGCTAGTTGGGCACCAGGAAACATGAGCACAGAAGGGCCAGTCTCCCTGCAGCATTCAAGGAGTGAAAAGCACAATGTTTTACTCAGGAGAACAGAACTCTTGTCTAGCTCTACCCACCACTCTCCGCGCTCGCCCTGCAGACAGGCAGCGCCGGAGTTCAGAGGCCCCGACAAGCTGTTGAGTTGGTTCTTGGAAGGCCACTTTGTGCAGCTGCCAGTTAGGGGCCAGAGCCACTCCAGGAACAGGCTGTTCCGTGCGGAACATGGACGGCCCCTGCCAGCTGCAGCCGCCCTTCTCCCGGGGATGCCACCTCAAGAGCTCTGGTCCCACACACAAAAAACGCTACCTTTATTTCAGATATTAAAAGGGCACCAAAAGCAAGAGGCAAGGGAGTGGAGAAGCACGAGGCAGATAATATGTTGCTAAACAAAACTAACTTTGGTCATAAAGTCCTGAACCTGTAAAACTCAGTAGCAGTGGGATGGACGTTTAGCCTGAATTCTTCCTTTCATGAGATACATTTGCATATATATACATATACATATATATATATAAAATATATATATATATTTTTATATATATATATATATATATATATATGCACACACACACGCACACAGGGCAGCTGCAGAGGCAGCAGTTCTCAGCATTTGCAGCATTACCTGTCCCAGTGCAGCTCCCACCCAAACCAGGCTTTGTGCAGCAGATGGGAGCAGTGGAGCCAGGGGTGCAGAGCCCAGGGCCTCACACCAGCCCTCAGCCTTGACACAGGGCACCCAGCGTGGCCCCCAAATCACCCGCTGCCCAAGGGGCTCCCACGCTACGCGTCCCGAGCCCAGGCTCCCCGTGCATCTCCTGGCAATGGAGATGCAACTTCAGTGGGTTGGCCCTTGGGAGAAGCTGTGATCCACTTGGGGCTCGTGTGGGAATCCTGCAGTAAGAGGGAAAACAGACTCAGGCTCTTGGTGTGTAAATGAGGAGGAGGGAACGTGGTGTCTTGCAGTCCCCCACTTTCAGAGCCAGAGTAAGTAACCACAGAAGCCTCTACAGCAGCGCACTCAATGTGCCGTGCAAAGCCCGAGAGAGAAATAATAATGAAAGAAAACTCTAGAAACAACAGAAGAAAGTCAGCATTGGAAGCTAACAGATCCTCTGTAAATGTTCAAATCATTTCTTTCAAGAGTCAAATTTTTGGGGTATTAAACACCTTAAATACTTATACTGTAATTTTAATTCAGTCGTTAGAGAACTTTATCAAAAGAATATATTCTTGCCAGCACTTTTGTTTGTATGAATCACAGCTCAGAGAAACATTTCAGGCATATAATTTATCTTTTCTTTGGCTTAAATAGTAAATGCTTCATGAATTCATGAATTCTGTCCTTGTTTTAATTATGCTGTGTTCTGAATGTAGTTTTGTAGACCACAGAAAATAAAGACTGGTTCACCAAACACAGAATGTTTGTGCAGCTCCTAAGCTGCAACTGCAGAGCCTCTCTCTTACCAGTGACACTGTTTGTTATGTGTTGGCACAAAATTCAGGGAAACTTTGCTTTAGCTCTTACAAATATTGCAAACCATAATCCAACAACAAAAAAAAARTGTTGGCAGCGATATCTGAATTTTTTAGTGAGATTATTATTTGGTAAAAGTTTGCAGTTACTACAGTAACAGCAATTAAATTAGAAGCTGTTTGGTAAATCAGATTTAGTCATTCGCTCATCCCACATGAGAACTAGCAACTTTACAGGGAACAGAGAGCAACTGTGCTGGAAGGCAGAGCCAAAGCCTTTGTTTTAAAAATGGAGTTAAAGCGAGCTTGGCAGCGTATCAAAAGTGCTTAGTCAATATATTCTTGCCAGGAAAGGTCTTAGCAGTCTCCTCCCCGCCAACACACACACATTTATGGCATAAAAGACAAAAGGTATGGCGAGGAAATTAAAGATAAGCTTAAAATTTCATGCCCCATCATGGTCCAATCCTGCCACTATCATTTACACCAAATAATTTAGTCCTTGATTTTGTGAGATCTCAAACATTTTCAGCTGTGCCTCTTGAAGCACATGGACTACACAGGGTATTTGGTGAATGGGAGACTTGTCCACAAGCAGCCCCCAGGCATCCAAAGGCTGTTGCAGGGGCCGGGATCCTGCAAATCCTCCCACACAGACCAAGCAGAACTGAGGCCTGGAGAAAGCCTGGGATTGCCAGGTTATTCCTATTAGTCAAGTTTAACATGTGGATGGGTATGAGATGAAGACTGGAGCAGAATTTGGAATGTACAGGAAAACCAGACATCACTGCCATAATAATAATAATAAAAAAACTGAATGAGCAGTAAAAATGTCCCCAGAATTTGTTTAAACTTGGGAAGAGGGACTGGATTTTCTTTATTCTCTCCCTCCCCTTTGACAGGTGCTTGGTGCATCAGCTTTCACATTCTGTACTTTGCGATCACAACAAAATAAATAAAATAAATGACACATTTTGCATTCAGTTGCAAAAGTAGCAGCTTGGGAGACTCACAGGCAAAACTTATCTTTCCTGTGTACTTAAAATCCTGCACATGTTTTGTTTCTGTAGAAAACTTCAGCCTGAGTGACCACAGAGAGGACAGCACTATGTGCCAAGTAGATAATTATTTACACAGCTCTCTCTACCTAGTGAAGGACTTGAGATGCTAGTGGGCTAAGACTATAGGTTCTTTAAGTGCAAGTGTACAGCTGAGATGCCAGTGAGGGGTACCACTTTTGGAAGGCAATAGTCACAAATGCAAGTGTTCACACCCTAAAAATAAACTTCAGAGAATTCAGACTGATGAGAATGGAAATCTTCCAATTTGTACAGAAGATAGAGAAGACTTGTTTGAGGAATAGAAAGCAGAGACACCATTAGAGAAAACCTGAGCAGGTGCCAGCTCAGATGCTCCTTGCCCCTGCTGTGGTCCACACTAGTGGGACTGGCGATGCTCGTGCAGCAGCGGTACCGGAAAAGCTGCGCTGCCTTCCTAGGAACCAGTTGTGCTTAACGGCACTTTCATACGGGCTCTGGTGCAAGGGTCACACTGCTAGTTCCCCCTCTGCTCCCCAGATTAGGCAGGGTTTGAACTAGATCATCAAGGGGTGTAAATTGGCTGTGCTGCACTGAACTAATGACAGTTATGCCACTTTGCCCAGGAGACTGACTTTTTCAGCAATCTAGTTATTAAAATATTAATCATGTGATATATTGTCTTTCTGACAATTTTGTCATGCTCATGATCCTGAATAAATAACAAATTAAGTAATACCTGACTTTTCTCCATTGCCGTCTGCATTAGATGAGACAGCATCAAAAGTAATGATCATAAGTGACCATAAATGACCATAAATGATGGTTAGGTTTGAACCGCAGAATGGCTCTATCCACAAGTAACGGCACAGTTCATGACGTGCCGTTGAGCCCACTGAACTCCAGTGTTTTCCACTCCTCTCCATGATCAACGTGCCAACTTACCTACTTTCTTACTTTGCTTTCTCCTACTGTAAAATCAACTCTAAGAACTATACTATTCCCCTGACAAAAAGAAAACAAAAAATACAAACTTGCAGTGACTAAGAGTATCAAAAATCATCACTGCATATTATTCTTGATTCTGATGCATAGGCTATGCAACAAGCAGCTATTGATCATGAAAGGTATTTTATTATCACGACAAAGAAAATATGTCAAAGAATTTTAGATCATCCAGCATCAAACTCTTAAGTTCCTAAAGCAGAGGAAAGAATTTTCCTGCCTGGCATTTTTGTTTTCATTTGTAGCCAGCTGCTGTTCGTCACCCAGACTACTGGAGCACGAACACAGCTGAACTTTCTGTAGAAACACAAATGAACTTAAGCTCTGGGTCAGGTGCTGGCGCTTAGTGAAGAAGCAGCCATCAGAAGCGGCTCCTCCGCCAGAGACGCTTCTCCCAAACCTCTGCTCCAAACCGCTCTGCGCAGCCGCCCGTCGGGGGCTGCTGCCTGTGCGCTGCGGGCATCACTCATTCATCCACACAGGCATCCCGACATGAAGGTGTCCGGCACCTCCCATATTCCCAAGAGACTTCATTAAGCAAGAAATGGATATTCCTGTTCAAACACTTGCCTTCCCCTGTGGGACACTTCTTGATGCGCTCTGTAATCCAACAGCCTCCTTTGCCGCGATGCTTCCGCCAGGAGTGTCGGAAGGCAGCCCTTCCTCTCGGGTATCAATCTGTGTTTTACTCCTTTCCTTTTTCTTCTCCAGTTTGAAGATTCTGTCAAAAAAGGTTACTTGTTTTGGCTCCGACACGGCTGCATCCTCTCCCTCAGGTGTCCCCGGTGCTGCTAGCTCTTCCTCATGGAGTGCTGAGGCAGGAGGGGCCTGGGCCAGGTTTTTATGGGAGCATCGCTCCGGCGCAGCTGCCGCGGGGAACTCCACGCTTTCACTCGCCGCTTTGTTCGCTTCGGGCCTCTCTGAGCTGACATCAAGTGTAGCGGATCCAGCTGATGAATCTGTAGCTTGATCTTCAGTACGCCCTGGTACAGGCCATGAAAACGCAAAGACAGAGCGGGATTTAGCAGCTGGCATGGCTTTCTTGGCRCCGTTCCCCGGATTCTTTCCGCCTGCATCGGGAACAGAGCTTATCTCCATTGTCTTCGGGGAAGAAACAGCCACATTATCCCGTGCAACACTTGCCTTTGCATCCACTACAAACAGAAGCATAAAACAGTAATTATCCACCACAGCAAAGAAGTTATACTAGTTGTTCAATTAATCATGGTGACCCCGCTCTTTAATAAACTAATTCTGAAACGTGGAGCCTCAGGGAAGACCACACACTGTATAACTTCTGTAAAGATCCTGTTGTTTTGCTGTGCAAAAACTGAGCTGCAGCTCATCTATTGAACTTGCCTGTCTGATTTCTTTCCTCTCTCCTCTTTCTCACTGAGGTCAGTGCAAATTTTATGTTGTCTGCACCACTGCTACAGTGTCAGTGGCTGAGGTTTGACTGCTTAGTTGAGCAGGCACACAAAAAGCACTGCCCATCAACACAGAACCCTTCATCGTTTTAGTCAAGTGGACTGTTTTATGTAAGGATGTTGGACTTCAATTAAAGAGCAATATGCAAAAATTGTTGATAATACTTGAGACAAAGTTATGTATTAATATAACACCTTCCTCTGTGGAAGCTAAATGGGAATAGAGAACGCAAAGGAATGATTTTGTTTCCTGGCTTGCCAAACTCCCCAAAGAGCTTTGTAGCCATAACTTATTCTGTTCATTTTCCAACACTGTTTCTTGCCTTGTTGCAGCCTTGCTGTAGTACTGTTTCTCCTTGCACCTTTCTTCTCTTGTCTATGTCTTGTGCAAGTCTCATTTGAACAGCTTAAGTCAAACTTGAGCTGTGTTTTATATCCTTGTATTTCTGACTTATTTCTGAAAAAATATTTTAMAATATTTTTCCACCCAAAATATTCTCACAAGTAATTTTCCATTGTGTACACATGACTATCGTACTTMAGGGATGAAAAAATTCCATCATTTTAAGATGTATATTTCAGTGCCATTTTGATCACAAGTGTGATGAAATTCCCTAGTTTTCAATAGGAAGATAGGAGAAGGGCTATGCTGTATGGAAGACAAACAAGGGGAAGAAGAAAGAAATCTCTTATAAATATTTTGCAAATGAGAAACTGAATCACAGACATATTATGTAGTTTGAACCCCCAGTAAACAAGAGAAGCCTTGTAGAGAGGTAGGCCTTACAGCTTCCCCTTGGCTTCAGCTTTTCTTCCTTACATTTTACTGGAATGTACGTCTGGTTTCACTGTCAATCATCACCACAGCATAAATTTAGATCTAATTATAACCATGCAGCACTGTCAATCTCAAACCGACTTGTTAAATTAAAATTTAAAAATTGTCAGATTCAGTGTGAAACTGAAATTACTTCAGATAATTGTAACTGTCTTCAGTCAATATTATGCCCTTCATACTTCACTGTATAACAGAGATGAAACCTTACATACCAATAAAATGTGACTAAAATGCCTTTCATAACACAGATTCAAAGTTCATTAAAAAAAATTCCCTTAAGATAAGAAATGCCGATTTTAGATCACAGATTTCAAACCTACCAGCTACATTTTGCAGCAAAATTACACCAACTCACTAACTTTTCCCCTAGGATTTTTCAGGCTAGTCCATGTATCAGCATTAGAAGTGATGACCGGTGTGTTCATATCCATTTATTATTATCCCCTTGATCCATTTATTATTATCCTCGTGTAATAGAGCTGACGGACCAAAGTCACTTCTCTGCACAAAACCAGAACAAAACCAGTGCTGGCATCTGGATGTCACGTCTCGTTCCTGATGACATTAACTCAGCGTCCATGTGCTGTGTCCGTGCAGCCTGGCAGAAGCTGGGAGCTTCCCAGAACATCCATCGAGTGGACGTGAGTGTCCACCCAATTTCCCAGAGCACTTGCCAGCAATAGGAGCTGCAGCTGACAAAGTGAGCACTGTCACGGCAAGATGCACAACTGGGGCTGGCATTTTACCAGCTGCCAGGAGAGCTGGTCCTTTTAGCTTCTCCACTTCTAACATTTTTATTGTGGAATTTGCCATTTTACTGTGTTTTGTGCATGTGGAAGCACATGAAGAGGGCAGAGTGCCTGAGTACATCYTGTTCTGTTCAGGTAAATAGATACTTGTTTCTTTGTGCACGTTAAGGGGCAGTTTTTCTTCCCTGGATTCCCTTTTGCTATTCATGTGAAAAAGTGACTCATGTGGCAAGAATTCCCATTGTCAGAAATATTCAAAGTGCACCTATTTGAACATACTGGAACTCAAAGAGATGCAGATAATTTTTTGTTCACCACTCCTAAGTATTTAGGAATCTAAAATGTCCGGATTGCTATGAGAAAAAGCACTGAAGCACCAATCACTTTATAGTTGGAAACCTGGGAAGGAACCTTTAGAAAAGCAAACAGGGACGTGCAAGACAATCCTAGAAAAAAAGCAAATGTTTCCTCAAGCTAGAAAAATATAGAAACAATATCCATTGGAAAATAATTGTAACAGATACAGAACTTCTGTTTTATGTCACAGATAAAGTGAAACACAAGAAAGCTGTATTTAGTATAAAAATAGGTATATAAGCTCATCATTAAGAAAACCAACCAAAAAGAAGCTCATGAACCTATCAAAATCCTTTTATCTCTAATTATCATGGAAGGAATGAAAGACCTGGAAAATATCACTGGCATGAGCTCTGCAGCATGTCTCTTGTGTCAAAACAGTTCAAACTGCTTCAGAGAAAGTCTGCTTAGACACCAGGCAGAGCAGATCCTACCACTAGAGAGGAGACATTATTGTGGTGGGCTGAGCAGAAGAGTTTGACTCATGCCATATTCACAGAAAGCTGAAGAAAACAGATTTTAAGATTGCAGTGTTTGGATGAAAATGTTCCAGTTTTGACAACATCATTCAACCTCTCAAAACATTTCATTTCAGCCTTTTTTGTTTCCACAAAATCTGTTTCATTTTCATTAAGAGTCGCTACCATTGCTTGCAAATGCACAAAGATGTCCACAAAAACTTAAGAGGACCTTCACAAGTGTCTGTTTCCAACTGATTCTCTTCCAGAGCAGCTGACTGAAGCTTAATTCACCTCTAAGTGAATTCACTGGCCCTTGAACCCTGGCTATGGCAGAAAACCCAACTCCCCGCGGCTTCCTCTTCTCCAAATTCCATTTATTTTAGAGCACTCTAGTCCTTGTGGCCCAAACACAGCTTCCACTGTTCCGTTTCTGTCAGAGCCATTTGTTGCGTTTATTCATATCCAAACAGCTACAAGCCAGGCAGCTGAAAGTGGAAGAAAGTTATTTTTTAGAGAGCCCATACAATTCCCTGCAAAATTATTTAGAAATCCAGAGGCAGTCAGGAATAGAAACAAAACTCCTACGTCTTAGGCCAGTTGTTCAAGTAGATCAAATCTGCTCCATTTGAATGAGATCAGGAACTACTCTGAAGCTAAAAATCAACGCCTAATTGGCAGCACTGCTGTGAGACTGCGTTTCACACTCGTTCGCAGACATTATCCTATCAGCTTCCTAACACCAGACAGTCCCAATGCAGATTTCTGCTCTTCAGCAGGATATTTAAACAAATGCAAGACTGCAGCTGCACAAAGTCCTGCTTGGGTAAACACACACTAAAGGTAAATATATTTTTCTGGGCTTTGCTAGATTAGGCCCATATTTTTTTCTAGATTAGGCCCGTATTTTTTCTGTCAATTAGAAGAAAAAGGCAGCAGCGTAAGCCAGGTACCGCATACCGATTTTTGATGTCATCTTTCCCAGACTGTCTCCTTAATATTCTTAAAACATTCTTAACATTCTTAAAACATTCTTCTTTTGTGTAGCTTGTGCTTGCTAGTCTGATTTCAGGACCTCAGTGCACCTTCATAGCGAATTCATAGACATCAGGAACATCTGAAGTAAGGCTTGGTCTTGTGATGTCTTCGTTGGCAACTTCTTTCTCCCTTGCCATCTACCCTATGCCCTTCGCTGGGGCAGTTCACTTGGTTATTGCACAAGGAGCAGCTTGAACTGGCAGGGTCCTCAGCACAGACATCTCTTCTCCTCTAGACCACTAGCATGTGATGAACTTGCTATACAGTAAACACCAGGAGAAATTGCTTTCTGGTTGCTTTTGAGAACAGAAAAATCCATACTTTTTGAAAATGAATTGAGCAGAACGTTAACTAAAAATATGGTTAGCAACTGGCTATTTTGAATACAAGCCAATTACAAGCAGGTATTTGGTTTAGCAATGTAATTATAGCAATGCAGCAGTATCCAGTTCCTAGCAGCTCACCGATAATTACAGAGAAAAGAGACTTTAATGGCCAGGATGGAGCCATTAAGGGCTACAGGCAGCATTTGGCACAATAAAAAGTCCATCAATGTAGACTAGTTTGATGGATCTAAAATACCTCTGAGCGAGTTACTGCAGTGAACACTGCATTTAAAGAAAAATATGAATACCTAGTTATACCAAAGTGACTTTTTTTTTCTACTTAGCATTTCTGATCTATTTTTACATATACTTACTGGGTATTTTTTTTCCTTCCACTACTTCCAACTGAGTTGTTGTCATAACACTAACATAGATATAAAATTCTAATCTCTAAATACATATAGTATCTGTGTGGGAGATAAGCCAAAATGCTTCACAASGTGATTGAGACGAGACTTGGAGTTTTCAGAATGATTACAGCACTCCAAAATAAGGGCATCTCCCCCTTTCCTAACAAAACCTGCACTGATATTCTTTTGCAATCTCGCTTGGCAGAATTTCATGCAAATAGAATTGAGAGTGCATTGAGGCACTAAGAACAGTACTGCTGCACTAAATTAAATAGCACTGATACATACCTAAAGCATTTACAGAAAATAATTAAGATAGGGAAAGAGAAAGGAAGGATGGCAATAACTGTTCTTAAAAAAAATCCATTGCATTTCACACACTACATGCACAACAGTGTTACTGCAGCACACCCATTTCTTTCAGACACTAGCTCGCAGCAGGATTTGCTCAACCAGATTTATTCTCTGCAATAGGAATTGCATTGTAACTGAACTTCTCTTCCTGTATGATATTTCTTTAAAGATTATACATTGGGTCACTGTTTTAAGCATCTGCGTATAATGACCACCCAAAGACATTCTTCAAATCTTGTCCTGTTAATGCATTTCTGTTCCCCGATAATCTAATCCCAGAGATACACTGGCGTTAGTTCTGGCCTCCTTCTCTTCTCCTGTTCTTCAGTACTTTATTACTTGTGTTTCAAAAACGCCAATTCAAAGCACCAGGTAGAGTCATGACCTAATTTGCCAGCCTTTCTCTTATGAAACAAGAAGATGTCAGGCAGGACACTAGGGCAGCACTACTGCTGAAATAGTCTTAGAGGAGGAAAAGACGGATGTTACCACAACCTGATAATCAATAGGAGCAGGAAAGGCAAGTAATGGRAAGAGTCCCCAAGTCCACATGTCAGCCTGTTTGAGCTGAAGCAGCCAATGCAGGGAGCCAGTCGCCAATCTGCTCACCCAGATGTGGAGCAGATGGTGTTGGGGCTCTTCCAAATAGCATTATTTCCTCTGGTCATATTAAGTTAACTCTCTGGATTCTTTTTTCCTCCTGTTATATTAGCAAATATAGGTTTCACAGACTCATTCATCAATCGTACTGCTGAATCCACAGCACATGGGCAGGTCACTGGCAATCAGAGAAACTCAAACTAACAGGACAGAGATTACAAATATACATTCAACATTATTAATGAAATCCTCTTGCTTCACTTGCAGCTTTTGAAGCAAAGAACTTTAATGCCTTATCCATAAATGCTCACTTTACAAACATAAAATTGGTCATGGTGTTATTTCATGCCTTATTTCTTTCTAGAAATACTATCAACCACACTTTCTGAGGGAATAGTCATCTGTAAACTGAAGTTGCACTTCTCTATCACAAAAATGTAGACTAAATCATACAAATCAGTGAGATTTCAGGAGCATCTTAATAATTAATGATTTTAACTGCTTTTTAAATAATAAAATCAAAATATGCGTAATAGCAACTTTTCACTTTTTTCAACTTGGTATTTAAATWGATTTAGCAATTAAATTTAAATTTATAAATTTATAAAATAAAAAATCCCTTTTAGTAAAACAAAGCCCTATACTTAATTTTTATATATCAAAAATAAGCAGTACACATATCTTCTTGGTCTTTATGTAGTGTAAAACTTGAAGCTTTTATTCACTCCACAGAACCRTGTTGCTTTACACCAGCAGAAAGAATTTTTTTTTTYYTTTWA